AGACCCAGAGCTCCCGGGGGTGAGGACCTCCCTCTGCAGTGTAGACCTCACAGCTCACAGGACAGACCCAGAGCTCCCGGGGTGAGGACCCCCCTCTGCAGTGTAGACCTCACAGCTCACAGGACAGACCCAGAGCTCCCGGGGTGAGGACCCCCCTCTGCAGCAGGAGTGCTCTGTGGGGAGGGCCTTGGCCTCTTTCCACTCTGCACTCCTCCTCCTCACCTGGCCTCACGGGGCTCAAACACCCAGCGAGGCAGACCCGCCGTGCGGCCTGTGGGCTTCTTACCTGGGAGACGGTGATGCCACACTTCTTGGCTAGCTCCTCTTTCGCTTCCTCACTGGGGTAAGGGTTGCTGAGGTGGGAATAGAAGTACTCGTTCAGGATCTCCGTGGCTTGCTTGTTGAAATTCCGTCTCTTTCGCCTTTGTAAAGAGAAAGGAAAGGTAACAACAATAAAACCTTTACCCCGTAGAAGCACAAGAAGGGAGACAACAGGACCGACTTCTGGGGAAAGGCACACTTTTGAGCAAAAGGAGAATGAGAGTGGCCGGGGACTGGCTGCCAGAACCCCGGGAAGTGTGCACCCCTTCACCAGGTCTAAGGGAAGGGATGCAGACGCATTTGCACAGAGATGCAAGGAGGAGCAGGAAGTCTCAGAGGTGGGGCCCTCTTGGTGTGGAACCCCAGGCTGGTGATTCGGGTTGCCTCTCTGGGCCTTGTGTTCGGTTCACTGACAACGGTGAAGAGAGCCGTCCTGAGCCCCCAGGTGAGCATAGCAGGGAAATGCAGCCAGACGAATGCCCAGCAGAGTGCCCAGCAGGCTGAAGCTGGCCCTGGGTGGCCCCAGGTCTCTCTGCACGGCTGGCTATCAGCCCTGGAATTCTCTTTTCTCAGCTAGTGAGGCGGACCGGCTCCTCCCAGGCACAGGTGAAGAACTGCTTGCAAGGTCTCGGCTGGCCTGCCGTGGGGCCCCGGGTTCATTCAGGTCTGCCTGCCTGTGGAACAGACGCAGCCTCTTCCTTCTAGCAAACTGCCTCCTAACGATGAGGCAGACCTGCAGCCACAGTCAAAAATAAGTGACCGCTTTCTGTCCGCTCTATCCCCGTGCAAATGCATGCAGCACTTAAAGGCACCTGGGGAAGAGGGCAGGGAACAGACTGAGATCACCCCTGACTGTCGGCTTCCCTCAGAAGGAGAGAAGTGGCCCTTCTGAGCAAGAGCAGCTGCTAAGTGGTAAAACAAAGCCCAGGAAACCTTTCCCACACACAGGTTGCCAAAAGGAAGGAGGCCACTTCTGAATGAAAGCGTTTTTCTGCCTTTTCACAAAAAGTGCTAATTGAACTAATTTGAAGTGAGAATCCCTGTACTTCCACCTAGCCAAGGCCTGCAGCTGGCTGGGAGCTGCTTAGGGAGGCTGCGCTCCTGGCAGACCTGCGTGGCCTCCTTGACGTGGTGGGCCCTTCATCTTTAAATTAGCTCTATTAGCACTTTAGTCTTTCTGGCTTTTATCAAAAGCTTTTCCTTATGGAAAAGATTTCCGGAACCTCCTGGTTATGTCCGGATACAGAATTTCCCAATTTAGCCAACAGAAAGCACTGATGGCCTTGCTAGACAGGAAATTCAGCTAATATTGTGTTTCCAGGGTCCCACTTGGATTAATTAACACAATAAAGTGCCTGATTTTACCGGATGAACACCATCTGTCCACAGGTATTAACCACATCTGTCCAGATTATGCCAAGCCCAAGTCACTCTCCCAAATCATGCTGAGTTTCCGGGTCACCCAGCATCAGAAATTGGACAGATTGGATTAAAAAGCCCAACTAAGAAGAGTTATGTGATAAAAGCTCCTGCAGGCGGGACTCTGGGGAAGGCAGCCGCGTGGCTCCGGCTCCGGCTTGTCCTCAGACACCCCCTGGCTGCTGCTCTGCTGAAGGCAGGGGTCCAGGCCTGGGGAACGGGCCCAAGTCCCCTGCCAGGGAGAGCCTCGGGCCTCCCCTCCCTGTCTGCATGAGCATGATGGGACTCTTCCAACGGCCTCCAGGAAGCCTCTGGAATGGCGGTGCTGTGGGTGGACTGGACAGCTGGAGAGGGCCCCCGCCCGGACGCGCTCACCACCTGTATGGGTCTCTGTCAAGGCCCTTGGGGGCCCTAGGATCAGGACATCTCAGAGTTTCGGGAGACAGTGAGAACAACCCTTTCTGAAGGTAAGAAGGTGGCACCCGGTTCCCGTGTGGTGGCTGGAGGCCTCACCAGCACAGTCAGTGGACACCCATGACTTCAAACCCACTGGATGCTCTGACAGTTGAGTATCTTGGTTTTTAACTTGAGAAACATGGATGCTGAATAATGTCGCTGGACCACACAGTGTTCCAGGGACGGGAACCTTTCGAATCACAGGGCCCCGGTAGACATTTTTCATAAGACTGGCGGTGGTGAGACCCAGGGGGGTCACAGACCATAAGTGGACTCAGGCAGCCATCACCATGTCCACTGCATGTCCAGGCAGCTCCCAACAGTTTCCAGAACTAATTCCGCCTCCCACCAAGAGGGCTCCGTTGTCCTGCACCCACGTTACGGGGTGGCCTCTCCGACTCCACTTGCGTGGTTGCTAATTCATTCACGTACTCAACTCTTTCCGTCCCAGCTGGTGCCAATCCTGGGTGTGACTAAGCTCTGCTGCTTCCTGGGCCTCGTGAACGGCTGTCCCCAAAGCCATTCCTGCCAGTTCTGTCCTTTCACATCTGTCCCTTTTGCTCCAGCCCTGGGGGCATGGCTATCTTGGCGGCAGGCTGTCCAGCAGTGCTTTTTCCATGTCTATGCTGTCCGATGCGGTGACCATTAGCCTCAAGTCTGCTTTGCAGCTGAAACATGGCTGGTGCAGCTGAGGACTAGTTTTTAGAATGTTGTTATTATCTGATATTTTAATTAATTCACACTTGTAGTCATGTAACAGACAGACAGTGCAGCTGCAGACAGACGGCTTCAGAGGCAGCGCCAAGCAGCACTCTGGAGACAGAACTCTAGACCACGGAGAGCACAGAGGCCTGGGGTGGCCTACTTGCATCCCTGTGCAGGGAGGCAGGAAGGTCTCAGGTAAGAACACTCCCCTCAGCATCTGCACAGATGCAAAGGTGCTTCAGACTTGCATCTGCCCTCGCGGGCACCCCGGCCTCAACAGCGGCTCCCCCAGAGCCTCGGCCAGTTCCGCAGTCTTCAGGAGAATCCCTGGAGGAAGCTTCCTGAGCCAGGATCCATTCAGGCCGCTAATGACCGACGGCACGATGAGGTGGCAGGTGCCCGTGGAAAGCCCACGGCCCGTCATTCCTGCTGCAGATGACAGTGTGCAGACCGTGATCTGGACTCTCTGCTGTTTGCTTTTCATAGTATCCTGCTTGTTCCCGCTTACAGAATTGGCCCATTGATACAGAAATAAAGCTGAGTTGTTGGGAAGATAAGTCACTCATCCAAGGTCATCAGGGTCTTCGGTTGTAGCCGGAATTCCAATTCCGTGCAATCACAGAACTCTCCAAGTGTCCCCCATCCTCACCAGCACTGCGGGTTTCGCAGGTCAGGAGGCAGATTCGGAGCTCTCCTGGTGACTCTGCACCCCTCTGCAGAACTTTGCAGCCTGAGCACAGCCTTCTGTGTGACCAGTGGCCTTGGAGGCTCTCAAGCACCCGCCTCTTCTGTGCACCTCTCTCCACTGTAAGTGCCACAGGTTACCTACGCCTCCCCACAGGCAGCGCCTTCCAGGGTAGGAACCACATCTCAGAGGAGCTGGTATCTGATGCAGAGCAAGTGCCGGGGGTGGGAGAGGGGGCGGGGCTTGCTGTGGTTGAACTCTGTCACTCTACCTGCCACGTCCCATCCTTCTTGAGTGTGGTTTGTCCCCAGAGGTCATGGGCTTTGTGAGAGCAGGGCCCCGTTTACACGCATTTTTATCCTCCTTGTCATTCCAGTGGTTGACACCGGCTCCCACCAGTGATGAGCCCAATCAGGGACAGGAGTAAGTCCGACAGTCACAGACAGTCCCCGCTGGCTGCCTTCCTCTCCTGCGACCTCTCCTTAGGTAACTCCCTTCAAGAGCAGCGGCGAGTGTCTGTGTTAGTGTCGCTATCTCCCACAAAATGTTACAGAAAGATCGTTCCCACTTTTGCTGAAAAACCTTAGGGGGTTAGTAAGTTCTGCTCACTCTCTTTAAGGAAAGCGTTTTTCCTGTCTTGAGCAATACCTGTGTGGCACAGCGCTTGCCCACAGCATGAGAGGAAGATGCTGAATGTGGAGAGAGTGCAGGGGTGCTGCTTCCAAGGCCAGCTCTACTGGAGTCTGCTCAACATAGGCAAGAGAGAAAGGAAGTAGCCCCTGCAGGACAGGCCCAGCCCAGGCCCCTGCTGAGAAGCACAGTGACAGGAACCCAGGGCCTGACCCTGGCCTGCTGGTCTTCCCTGGCGAGAGGCTGGGATGGGAACATGATGGGATAGGACCCTTGGGCCAGGTGACCAGTCAGCTGACGTGGAGTAGATGAGAAGGGAGAGTGGGTTAAGCCTTAATGTGGACTTTCTCCTGCCAGCCCTCAGGAGGGCCACTGTGACCTGCGTATGGAGGGGAGGCGTCTGGGAACGCAGCTCTCGGCTCCTCCACCACAAGGATCTGCCAACAGCTAGAAGAGCACAGGAGGGGCCCTGAGCGGCAGATGGGCTCGGCCTGAGCGGACCACACCTCCCTCTCATCCTGCAGGACCGGAGCCGAGGACCCTGCAGAGCCCGGCCCAGACCCACCAGCAGAATCTGGTTGTTGTAAGCGTTAAGTCTGTGCTAATCTGCTGCACAGCATTAGAAAGCTAAGACGAGGCGTGTCCCAAACAAAGTATCAGCAGCGGCCTCCACCTACCTACTGGTCAGGACACTAATCCTGTTATGAAGGCCAGCCCTCTTTGTGTTTTATTTGTCTTCCATGAAATCTTTTTTGGATGCAGCCCTGCCCATCAGACCCCTGTGGAGTAGCAGGTCCCAGCAGAGTGCTGTAGTGGCTCTAGGTCTGCTTCCTCTCCCTCCCTATCATGGTGAGTGGTCCTGGAGGACGGGCTGTTGACCTCCCCGTCAGCAAGTCAGGGCAAATCTTTACTTCTGGGCTGAGAAAGGCATTTGGCTGGCATGTGGGCGATGCTCTTTCCAATATCGAGCACATCCACAGTGTAAGATGATCCCAACAGGACAATGGGTCAGTGTTTCAGTTTCCAATCTGGGCTCAGACACAGTGATTCAAAGGTCACAGCCTGAGAGAGAAAGAGACCTGTCTTAAAGCAACTGTCCTTCTGGTGCTGAGGGACAATCCAGGCAGGGGCTGTGGAGGTGACGGTGCACAAGTCAGCCGTGCCTGGCGTCTCCTGGAGTCTGACCTTCAGCTGGGCACAGGGAAATCACTGCAGGAAGAAACCCAGGCAGACAAGGCATCTGCTCTGTCCTTTTCTCCCATCTCTTTCTTGAAAAGAACCCAGTCTGGGCCCAACTTCTCTTTTTTCAATCTCTGCCAACATAAATGCCAACTCCGCATTTTAACTAGGGAGTTGCCATGGGGATGTGAGCGGCACAGGCAGCCAGTCGGCTATGGCACAGGCAGGGCCCAGACAGGCCGCCATCCCCGCCCGGCACACAGACGCAGCCAGGCTGGCGCGGGCCGTGGGCGGAGGGCAACGCCCAGAGGGTCCCGCGCCAGCTGACCGCCCACTCCCACTGCCTCGCTGGACCCAGCTGGAAGTGCTGCCTTCGCCTTCCCTTGATCCTGAGGCGGGGTCTGCTAGCTGGTATCCACACCGCGTTCTCCCTGCAGCCAGGGCACAGAGAGGGAGTGAGAGGAGAGGCCCGGAGCTGTGCGGGGCCCATGGCCGGAGGAACAGAACTGTGACGAGAAACACGGTAGAGCTCTGTGGCTTCAAGGCGGAGGTCCAGGAGAGCAGGGAATCTTTCTGTCTGACTGAAAAGGGGGTCCCATGGCAGGACTAACAGGCACACCTGACCCCCGTGATAAGCACCACCGATGGGGGCACCCTCGGGACCTGGGGAGCTGGACGGCGGCATCCGTGTTCAGGATGAACTGCAGACCTCGCATGTGCCAGGCCAATTGTCAGGGTATCCTTCCAGAGCAGATGAGAAACGGCAATCACCATCTTGCAAACCAGATGCCAAGAGTGGGCAGAGCCCAAGGAACTGGGAGAGTCCTGGCTCCGGCACAGGAGGGCCAGGGCTGGGTGGTCTGTGCTTTGTTTGGTTCTGGAGCACCTGAAAGGACCTCCATGGTGTGTGCTCAGTGGGGTGCATGGGGCTCATGACGTCACAGTGAGCAGATGCTGCCTACCAGCTGGGCCCACAGCAGGCGGCCTCCTTCCTCTCTATGCCTGAGGGACCAGACCTCCCTGTCCCCAAACTCCCGAGACAGCCCCGGCACATGCTAATCAAGTAACCAATACTGCCGACTGAACTGAGCCGCTCTCTGCCTGTGTGGGAGGAGACCGCGCCTCCCAACAGGCCAACCTGGCGCTCTTAGAGAAGGGTGCATAGGGCATGCTGACTGCACCTTGCTGGTCAGCTGACCAGGGGCCCAGGTGAGACGCACGTGAGACAGGTGCTCAGTGCTGGGAGAACAACCGCCCAACCAGAGCTGTCATCCTGGGGGCTCACCAGAGAGAGCAGCAGAGGGAGGAAACCGTCCCTCCAAACCTGCAGCTTCCCAGCACTGCCCCCTCTGCCTGCCTGAGACCAGCGGTCCACCGTTCTCCCAGCCTGTCCTACCAGACCTGGCAGCCATCCTCGGGTCACTGCCTGGCTCCGCAGTGATGTGGCACAGCCAGAGCCCTTCAAGAGCGCCAACCAGAGCCCACCCTCTTCAGTGGCTCAGGAGGCCAGCCTAGCCCCGGGACACTCACCGCGCATCCAGAAACCGGGAACGCAGGATCATGACGGCCTCGCACGTGCTCTGCTTGAGCTGCATCTGGATGGAGCTGAACTTGCGGTGGATGATGCTGACCATCCGCTCGATCTCCTTTGGGGAAATGGGCCTGGTCCGGCTCTGCTCTCGGAGGAGGTTCATCACGTGGGTGGTGAACTCATTGCAGGCCTGAAATGGAGAGCACAGACGGTCCTGAGGGCCCAGGCAGGCCCGCGCGGTGGAGCTGGGCCACTCTGCTACGAACCTGTGCATGTGGAGAAAACTGGGAGAGCACGGCATCTTGTCAAGTAGATGGTGGGATAAATGACTGCCTGGAATTCCTTTAGCTCAGTGGCCCCGAGTTTTGGCCATGATTTCAATTATTTAAGGGAAAAGAAAATCCTTAATTGATTTTTTTCCTGGACTTTGCTACAGTGGAAGGTGAGAACGTAAATGCTGGTGTAAAACTCACTGCGCCACCCTTGGCCCCAGTGTCAGCCACAGTGAGAGCTGGGGTCAAAGGCATGGGGAGCTCTCTGCCTTGTTCATTATCTGTGATGTGGTATCGCTTCCAAATATTCAATTTGGGGATGCATAAATAACCCAAAGAGTTCAAGAGCAATCACGGAATTAAAAGCTTCAGACTCTGGGAGATTTCCCGTCAGCCATTTCCAGTTTTACTCCAACCCCCACACTCTCAGCCTCCTTCTGAGGATCCACACTCCACAACACAGAGGGAGTCTGACCCCAGGGACTTCATAAAAATGACATCACAACAAGGGTTGGAGGACCCAGGATCCTCTCCGGTTACAGAACAAAATACCACCAGCCTGGAAGTAAGACTGGAAATCAAATTTCTCTACCTCCTTACTTTACAATTGGAAACTGTGGCCCAGAGCGGCAAAGGGACTTCTCCAAGGCCCACCATAAGGAAAGAGAGGCAGAAGCAGGGCCAGAGGCTCAGAGCCCACTTGTCCCTCTGTAGACCAGGGCCCTTCGCTGGCATCCACAGTTTGGTTTCTTTAGCTGAAGAGTTAATAAAACGTCTCTTCACAGGTTAACTCAGTGACGCTGTGACACGGTATGAGGTCTGTAATGAGGAAGCTCAAGAGGCCTGAACTCCAAGGCCCCAAGTCAGCATTAACAGCAAAGCACCCTTAACGTCGGCCACGCTGCGCTGCGTTTGCTGCTGCCGCCCAAAGGCCTTCACACGCGCCAACGGTGTAATGAGGACGTACTGGGGCACGTTCTGTTCACCTGGGGAAGACGTCCAGCTTGACTGGGCTGGGTCTGCACTGGAGAGCGGCAGCCTGTTGGGCCCAACCTCTAGGAGCCCCCGAGGAATCCTTGCACTGTGCAGGCCTCTGCATGCCCGTGAGCCTGGCTCTGCCCACTCCTAATCCTCTGGCATGTCGCTCACCTGGCCTTGGAGGGGCTGTGAGAGTGCAGGCTGCCTGTTCCCGGCCCTGACGCTCAGGTGGGGTGGGATCACAGAGAGGTCCTCAACCTCTCTGTGCGTCTTCCTCCTTCCTGGTGAGATGGGTGACAGCCCTGAAGGGTGTGGCACATTAAATGGTTCTCTCTCTGTGTGCCTGGCCCTACAAAGTCCTGGCACAACTATGGCTTCAAAACAGAGTGCTTGGAAACCCAGTCTACCACTGTGGCCGGCTGCAGCCTCCCTCCTGGGGGAAATCAGAGTGTGATGAACACGGGCCCCCCTTCCCCGTGCCGGCTGGGACCCATGCAGAACTGAGGAGAGCGTGATACAAACACGAGACCTGTCCTAGCAGCTGTCCCCAGCCAACCTCGGGCCCAGAACTGAGAGAAATTGCACGTAGCTGCCAGTGAGCCTCATCCCTGAGGCCAAGCAGAGTGAGGGAGGCACAGGCTGGACCCCCACCATCTTGCTGGAGGAGCAGCTGTCCATGGGCTGAGGCCTCCACCCGGCTTCACAGACTGCAAGGGAGGAGGGGTGGGGGCACACAGTGCTGGCTGGCCATCTGTGCTTCACTGGGGTCCAGTTAGGGTGCTTCCCCAGGCCTTCCTGCTCTGCAGTGAGCAGGCCCTGGAGACTGTGCACTGCTGGGGAGCAAGGCAGCTGCCGAAGAGCCGCCCAGGAGTGACAGAGGCCCGGAGAGGTTGCCCCAGACAGAACACAGGCCTCCAGCTGCAGGGCCCGATGCCCAGAGCTCTGCCTGGGTTCCCCACAGTGGGGCGCTTCCGGGAGGTCAGGTGGTCTCCACTCCATGGGGTGCCAGCATCTGGGCTGCAAGCAGCAAGTTAGTAGAGCCCTCCCAGACCCCGGGTTTCCCAGACCCCGGGTTTCCACGGCAGACTCAGGAGGAAGGACACTGGAGCTCCCATCGCCTGCCCCCCCCACCACCCAGGGCACAGTTCTAGCACAAGGGAGGTCTGGGAAGAGCAGCCAGAGAAGACGGCCTTTCAGGGAGGCCTGCAGCAGAGGACAGGTTGAATCCTGCTTTCCAGCCTCCAGGCCTCCCGCCTCTCCCTCCACTCCTTCCACCTCCGACCAAAAGCAAGAGGGATCTTGGGGGCTGCTTAGCTGTGCACCAAGTAAACCCAGAGCAGCTCAGCATGGAGATGGAGCTCGCCAGCGGCATTGTTTACAAAACCTGGAGGATCCTGCAAAGCTGCCGGAGGATCATTTTCACAAACAGCCCTGGGGATACGTTCAGGCTCCTGGCTCTGAGGTTCTGCTACCCCAACACGCCACCAGCAGCACCGCTGAAAGTGCCCTCCTGCAGCCCCACTCCACAGACAGAGCACTCCTTCCACTCCACTGAAAGCCGCCAGAAGCCTCTGGTGAAACCCTCCTCAGCCTCGGGCTCCGGGGAGGCTGTGACAGCCGACTTCCCTGTGGTCATCTGCCACCACCATTCCCCAAACAAAATGAAGTCCAGGCGTCAGCTGGTAAACCACAGACCTGGCCATTCCCTACAGGAGCCAGTAGGCCACAGGGTGATGTTCTACTGGACCAGGGTGTCCTGCTTTTCCAAAGGCCCTGGAGGTGTTTTACAGGAGACACATCTCAGACACACCAGATTCTCCATGACCTGCGACTTCCTACCACCAACACCGCAGCTAACTCACAAATCATTAAGCAGACGTGCCCCTGCGAATAAGGAGAGGTGGCTTCAGTACTTCCTAAAATAGTAAACACCAACGGCTGCCATGACAGGCCCACAGTTTGCTCGGTGTCTAGGGGCTCTTCTTATGTTTCTAACTTCTGACATCTTCATTAGGTAGAATAGGTCAGTGCCGGGGGAAAGTTCCTCCAGAGAACGTCTCTGTACCCGCCTGCCTTGGGTGCCAGCCTCTAGCCCAGGAAATCACCGAGGGGACAAGACATCACACTGTTCCGGGTGCAGCCAGGTATCCCAGAGGGTGCCCTGGTCAAGGGTCAGCACCAGAGCTCAGGGCACTCTGACTGGACATGGGACCAGGCACTCTCTGACCTCTGACCTCCCCTTCCTACCCGACATGGAAATGTGATGGCACCTCCTGTCCAGGTCCCCACCCCCAGAACGGCCTGGAGGACCCAGGGCAGCCAAGTCAGGCCCAGGGCAGCCATGGGGTTGGTGGCTGGGACACGCTCCTGCTGACAGTTTTACTCACTCACAGGAGAATGGAGCGACAGAGGGGCTCGTGGGGAGAAGAGTGTCTCCTGAGCTAGACACAGCCAGCTCCCGGCCCCTTCCAACCTGACGCGCTGCATCCCCAGAGTCAGGAGCCGCTTGGCTCTTCCAGCGGCCCCTGGATTGGCAGGAGTGTCTAGAGGGTCGGGCCAGGGGCCAGGTGTCCTGGTGGAGGTGTAGAAGAATCCCGAGGAAGGAGAACCCAGGCCAGAGCGTCTCCACGGAGTGTGCCCGTCACCTAACCTCAGGTGACCCGGCAGGTAGGGCAGCCCCAGCTGGCAGCAGGGTGCAGGTGGGGAAGCTGGGTGAGCAGAGAAGCTCGGAATGCTGGGATAGGGTGTCTGCCGCGGCAGCGCTGTGCCGAGATCCTGGGGTGGCGCTCCGGGCCTTGGCTGGCCTGCTCTCATCCCTCCTTCGCCCTCCGCCCGGAGGCCTGCATTGACCCTGGCGGCTTTGGGCTTCACGGCCATCTCCCCACCCAGCAGGGGGACTTTGTGGAAGTCTATTTCAAGGGGGATAGGAGCATTATAATGAAACTTTCTTCGTTTTAAATTTTAAAATGCCTATTTCTGTTTTAAAATTTAAATTTTCTATTAAGTTTCATTTGCCTCCCACCTAGACATTCCTGCGTGGGCTGCAGGGGGTTTTCTACCTTTGGCTCTTCCTCCCTTTTCTTTTTTGATCCATAAAAATGAAGGAACAGAACGTCTGATATTTGGTGGGAGGAAGTTCACCTAGAACTTCAGCACCACGTGTGTCCAAGAGGTGGCCGCAGATGTGGCCGCTGAAGGACAGGCACAGGCCTGGTGCCACAGCCTCCTGAGAGAGGAAATGGTGTGAGGTCACTCTGCCCCGGCTGTCCAGCAGAGCTCTGCATGACCAGGACACCACGTTTGCACATGGTGCTCTAGAGCCTCTCCTGCCCTCCCTCGGAGGGATGTTCACGGTCCTTTACCTGAGGGGACGGCTACTGTCCATCACCTGTGGGACAGCCAATGTCCTTCACCTGTGGGACAGCTAATGTCCTTCACCTGTGGGACAGCTAATGTCCTTCACCTGTGGGACGGCCAATGTCCACCACCTGTGGGACGGCTAATGTCCATCACCTGTGGGACAGTGAATGTCCTTCACCTGTGGGACGGCTAATGTCCATCACCTGTGGGACAGTGAATGTCCATCACCTGTGGGACAGCTAATGTCCTTCACCTGTGGGACAGCTAATGTCCATCACCTGCGAATGTCCATCACCTGTGGGACGGCGAATGTCCTTCACCTGTGGGACGGCTAATGTCCACCACCTGTGGGACGGTGAATGTCCTTCACCTGTGGGGCGGCTAATGTTCTTCACCTGTGGGACAGTGAATGTCCATCACCTGTGGGACGGCTAATGTCCTTCACCTGTGGGACAGCTAATGTCCATCATCTGTGGCACAGTGAATGTCCTTCACCTGTGGGACGGCCAATGTGCACCTGCAGCTTTCTGAGCAGCGTGCAGGCCACCTGCCGGGCCTACTCTCCAGAGGTCAGGCTCTGGGGTCTGCTGGGGCACCCCCTCTTTCTAGGAGGAAGGCGTGAGCCCTGTTGCAGGCCACGTGTTATGTAAAGAGGAGAACACGAAGGGCCTGTAAGGACAAGTTCTGATGTCCTTTCGCACAGGAGTCTATCAACATCAAAAGAGCAGTCGTCCTAAATAAGGGACGATCAAGGGCACTGACATGCCCCAACCAGGTGTGAGCCACTCCACCTGGCAGTGCCCACGGAGTGCCAGTGTTGGGTGTTCCTCACACGGACGCCGAGGTGTCCTGAGACCACCGTTCACAACTTCCCGTGCTTTATGCCTGCATCTCATTGAACGCCTGCCCTTCCATGGTTGAGCCTAGGGCTTGGTGGCCTCCAGTTCCACTAGGCTTTCTGGCCAGCAAGGAAGTGCTGGGCACAGTGCCTGTGGGAGCAAGGCTGGCCGAAGGGTCTGCAAGCCCCGGGGGCAGCCCTGCACCACAGGCCGTGCGGAGCCCGGGCCCTCTTACCTGCTCGTACTTCTCCAGCTCCGTGTGGTAGATCTGCCTGATCTGCGACAGCTTGGCCCTGTAGTCGGAGTGCTCCACCGAGTTGTCTGAGCCCGCCCCTCCAGAGGCTGCCGCTGCTGCCGCCGCTGCCGCCGACCCACCGCCCTTCTCGGGCCCGGCCACCCCCTCGGCCAGCAGCATGTTGTCCAGGCGCATCAGCTGAGGGTCCGTGGGCTCCTCCTCCTGGGCTCCCCGGATGCTCAACACTAGGAGAAAGAGAGCCGGGCAGGTGAGCAGAAGGCCCTGGGGAGAATTTCAGCCAGGGTGGTGCAGGGCCCACCAAGGAGCGGTGGGAGAAACCTGGGGAGGTGGCACTGCTCAAAGCACATCACACTCCACCCACACCCGGTCTCTAGCGTGGCCAGCCTCAGAGAGGCAGAGATGGTGGGAGGCCAGGGGTGGCAGGTGGGTGCACCAAGCAGAGCTTAGCTTTGGGGTGGTGAGAGGGTCTCAGTGCACCCTGGTGACCACTGTACGGTGAAATACGTAACACCACTGATCTGCACCCTCAAAAAGACCCCAAACAGTGAAGCTCCTATTATGTACATTTACCACAATAAAAAATCCAGAACGACGTAAGTTAATTTCAATAGAATATATTTTTTGCTTTCATTTTCCAACTGCCAAATTTCAATTGAAGGAGAAGCATTTCCTTCTTTATTTCTAATTTTAGATTTCCGTGAGCTTGCGGCTTCACTCAACTTTCTTTGTAACATTTGATTAAAGGAAATTTTCATTTCCAATATCGCCCGAGCTAGATAGGTGGAGGGAATGGAGGAGATCTCAGGCCCTGGGGCAGGACTCCCCCCCCCCCCCAGGGCTCCCTGCGCTCCAGGCCACGTGGCTCTGTCCTGGGGGGAAACAAGGGCGAGGCCCTGTAAGCAGACCTGTCAAGGGGTTCGGGAAGGCACCGTTCCTGCACAGTGGACGGCCACCTCTACAGACACCACAGACACCGGGTGAGGGGTAACTTGGGCCCAGAGAGACCCAGAGACCCAGCCTTTCCTCGCTGCTGCATCCGACCTGCCGTGTAAGGAAGCGCTCATCTCACCCGGGCTAGAGTCGGCAGCCAAGCCTTTGCTGAGAGGTGCATGAAGGGGACTTTCAATTTTGAAAACTGGAGGAGAATTTTTATGGGGGGGGGAGCAAGGGAGAGAGGTACTTGTGGGCTGAGGGGAAGGGGGCCAGCATTTAATCGTGTTCAGGGCTGCAGGTGGAGGGTCTAGGTCCCTGGTGGATACACAGCTCCTGGGCCGTGAGAGTCAAGGGCTGCTTCAGAGCAGGTGCCTTGGTGAGCCCCAGGGGGATGGGCCCATGCCAGCTGCCTGCAGAAACGAGCCAGGTGGCCCTGCCAGGCTGTGACTGGGGACACCTAGAGGTCCAGGGCCTTCCGTCTCTGGCAACTCCAGCATCACTGTCGGCTGTGCCCACACGCTTGGCTTCCAAGGACCGTGACAGCAGTTTAGAAAGAAATCCCACATTCTGTTCCGAAGAAAAGCTACAGCAGGGCTGTCATGGACCAGAGGTGGCCGTGTGGACCAGCCACGTGTGGACCACGCCGTGTGGACCAGCTGTGGCCATGAGGAGCACAGAGAACGAAAGTGCAGGGACACTTGTGCCCTTGATGGACTAAGAAAGGGCGGAGGGAGGGTGGAGGAAGGAGGGCGGGAGGTGGGAGAGAGAGGAAGGAAAACCCCCTGCTGAGTCCCGGCCGCGTTGTCCTCCCACACCGCATGTTCTGCTGTCGACGTCACGGCACAGGTGGGCTGGCCCCACAGCTGTCTTTCAGCGAAGCCTTCCTTGGTGGGCTCAGAGACCATGGAAGCTGCCTGTCGGGCTGATCATTGGGAATAAGGAGGCAGCCATGGGTTCTGTCTCTTGAGCTAATTACTCAGGTCTCCCAAATCCTCACCACCACCCAGGTCTCCTGTGCAGAGTGACTGTGTGGCCTTCCTGCGACGGGGACCTCATGGTCCCAAGAGGGATCCAGCCACCCAAGGCACCTGCCGCCAGAGCCCTGCAGCTCTGCCCTCCCACCCCCGGGGTCCAGGAGACTGTCCGGGGTGAGGACATCCACTTGTGGGGTTCATGGGTCTTTATTGGTGAATGTTAATTTCATTACAAAGATGCTTACGAGTCATCCCAAAATTAAAAAAAATATATAGGCTCTGAGTTATTAATAAACTAATATAATTGTTTCACTAGAGATTAGAAAATTAAAAAAAAAAAAAGGAAAGGTAACAAGCAGAAAACCAAGAAGTCCTCTCCAAGTTTCTCCGATTGCCCTGTTTCATCACCCTCAAATCGTGAAAACGGAAAACGTCAGAACGTGTGCAGGAGCCAGTGTGAGCAAGGACAGCTCCGGGCAACACTTTCACCCTCCGCTCCGTCCACGGGAGGGTCTGGTTCTGGTGGACTGGCTGCATATTTATGGGGCACGGGGCAGGGACGATGGCATGCTTGTGGTCCAACCCAGAGCCAGGGGACGCCAGCGCAGCACTGTGAAGACAGGTGCTGGATTCACTGACACGGAGACTGCTCAGCCAGTCGGTTAAAACAAAGTCCCACCAACATTAAATAAATAAGCGGAAGGGTGGTGTGTCTAAGCAGAACTGATGCTACCTATTTACTGCTTGAAGCCAGCACTCTGGCGAGTGGGAGACAAAATGATTATTTAAAAGCTCCTTTTTATCTCGGCGGCACCATGCAAGACTCAAATGAACCTTCCGCCAGGACACCAGAGATGTTAACGCTCGTCCTCTGAGATCCAATTTCAGCCAGCGGAGCGGTTACCTAATCCAGCAGCCATCACAGATGATCAGGTCCCTGCCTCCCTGACGGGCGCCCGCACCCGCCCTCCTCAGACCCACTGCTTCCACTGAAGCACGTTTTAAAGGGCCCATCCCTGTTTGTACCTTGCACATGGTTTTCACGGCCAGCAGGCCTGCACCAGCCACCACCCAGGAAACGCAGGCTCCAGGGGACCCTACTGAGATGGCTGGCCCCTTCAGTAAGAGGCCTCCAGGAAGGCATTTCCCTCCCACGAGTCTACCCCTCACCTGAGAGGAGTCAAGACAGGTAAGTGCAGAAATTGTCCCAAGCCCGTCCAGACGGGTCACATCTGCCTTGCAGCACCGCTCACCTGGGGGCTGTCCTTAGGTAAACTCTGGGGGAGCAGGCTGCCACCGCACTGGGGAGCCACTCCCCGTCCTGCGGCTCCTCCTTCCCTCCACACAGGAGAAAGGCCAGCCTCCAAGGCACACTCAGGGCTGGGCCTGGTGGAGGCCCAGGGCGGCTGGTTTTGTCCTGGGCTGAGCCTCGGCCTGGAGCAGCTCCAGCCAGTGCCCACGAGAGGGCACTGTCTCCCCACCAAGGACCAGCTGGCCTGGAGGGTCCACAGCCTCCAGGGGCCAGGGCTGGGGCAGATGGCCCTGCGCAGTCAGACCTCCACAGGAGGAGCAGGTGGGCAGGAGGCAGAGCCCAGGTTTTCAGACTGGGACGGTACCTGGGAGATCCAGAGCAGGGAGGACCGAGGCAGACAGGTGGTTGGGAAGGGCCTGGGTGCTGAGGGCAGGCCCTTCTCTGTGACTCGAAGGCACATCCCAGACGGGGTGGGCCTTCGCACCAATACCAGGAGGCCCGTGGGGAGTGCAGCTCCGGGGCTCAGCCCAAGTCCTCTGCCACCGCCCCGTCGCCAGGACTTTGAAGGAGGATGGGACAGAAGCTGACTGGCCTTAGCAATTTTAAATCACGGCAAACTGCTTGCCTCTCAGGGGCCTCAGTTCCCACGCAGCCATGCTCCCAGGGCACGCAGCAGAGGTGAGGCCAGGTGACTTCCCGACAGCCAGGTGACCACGGGGCCCAGGACACAGCAGAAGGTGAGGCCAGGTGACTTC